TTCTAAATAAAGTAAATAGATTTTAAAAGTTAATATTTTAAGATATTACTTTCAATAATAACTTCTATATTAATATTATTTTAGAATATTTACTAGAGAAAATAAATATCTAATATTTAGCTTTTAATAACACTTTTTATATTAGAAATTATAAAAATAGTATAGAAATAAAAAAGGTTTTTTTAAAAAAAAAGTAATATTATTTTAATAAATTACTAACTTTATTTCTTATATTTTAGTTCTAGGTATATCCTTTTTAGTAGCGCTTTAATTATAAGTTTATTTATTCTTATAATAACTTATATAAAATAATGTTTCTAAGAACTTAATCAAACTAATGCTAATATTATAAAAATATAGCACTTTTATTTAGGTTATTTTAGCTAAAGAGTATTTAAGAAACTTATTTTTAATATTTAGAGGGTAAAGATTTAAAGTGTGTTATATTTTAAATGCTAATATTATATAATTATATATATAAAGCAAGTTATATTATAATATATTTGTAAGGGGCTGGCCCCTAGGCTTGTTCAACGTAGAGGTGCTGTTGATTGACTATTCTAAGCTGAAGAAGGAAGAAAGGACTTTACAAGAGTAGGCACCTAACAGCAGTGAAGCAGACTGGGTTAGGCGGTGTAACGCGGCAGAGTAGTGGGTCCAACGGAGCTGGATCTCGGTAATTGCTCCGGCAAAGCCGGAGATATCAATCCGGGCTCTAGCCCGTGACATTACCCCCCCGCTCCCCTCCGGCGGCGTGCCCGCAGCCCTAAGGCTGGGTCTCCATCATGCTCCATCGCAGAGCCATAACGGCGTTCATAAGCCTCTAATGCTTCTGTCCCCCTGGAGCGTCTCAATAGGCTCCCAGGTCCTCTCTGCGTATCCTTCCCACTTAACCAGAACTTCGCGGCGTCGCCTGCGCCCTCGACGCTTCTAGGTAGCAGCGTCGATACTCTCTATATTCCAGGTCTCCTCGCCTTCGTCATCTATAATTAGTGGCGGCTGCTCGTCATCTAGCGTTTGCCTAGGTAAAGGGTTGTTACCTGCACGCTTCAGGGTATCCACGTGGAAGCGTAGGTATATAGCTGTTGGCACGTTAAGCTCTACTACGTATAGTGAGATAACCTTCGTAACGGTATACTTATAGTGTAACAAATCCAGTTTCCTGCATAGCCTAGGGGACCTGTAGTGGCCTATGTGAAGCCAGACTTTGTCGCCTGCTTCTAGTCTCTCCGTAGGCTGGCGCTTCCTGTTAGCCAGCTCCTCATAGCGTTGCTGCGTTGAGGCAAGGGTCGACCATGCTATATCCATCACGTCCTGGAGCCTTGTTACTAACTTGCGTGCCAGGTCCTCACGAGGGCCCTCATGGTCTTCTGGGTCTGCCTCTTAAACCTGGACAGGCTCTGGGTGGTATCTATGTTCTAAGAAGAAGCTGCTCATGCCTATAGCGCTGCTATCGCAGCTGCAGAGCGCTAGTTGAGCTGCTGGGAGGTTATTCGCCTAATCCTTCTGCGAGTAGGTAATATAATTGCATAGGTAGGCCTGGATCTCTTGGTTCATCCTTTCTAGGCTGCCATCAGTCTGTAGGTGATAGGCAGTACTAAGCTGCTGTTCTATTCCCAAAAGCTTGCAGAATTGCCGCCAGAAGCAGCTCGTCCAGTTGCTTCCTCTGTTGCTCACAATTAAAGTAGGGACGCTGTGGAAGCGGAAGTAGCAGCTTAGGAATCGTTCAGCGCAGGCTTCAGCTTCTATACTTTCTATAGCTTCAAGGGTTACACCTTTTCCTAGCTGGTCGATAATTACCTAAAGGTATCCCTCACTCTTATCTGTAAGGGGAAGGTTGGTAATAAAATCTATAGCGAGGTCGCTTTATATATGCTGCAGTATTAGTAGAGGTTTCAGAAGTCCTTTTCGATGCTCTCTCCAGATGTAGCTTTGCCTGCAGCTATCGTAATTGCAGCAGAAGCGTCGTACTAGCTGTGACTAGCCAGGCTATTAGAAGCGCCTACTGACTAATGCGAGGGTATTATCTCTACTAGGGTGTCCACTAAGTACTAAGTTATAGCTGCTTTAAACGATATGAGTATATAGTGTGTTCGCCTTGCTATCTAGGTCTTCACTACTTAGTACCTAGATCTAGTCTCTAAATAGTAGTTAGTTACTATTATTGATCTCACACTTAGCAATCTGGACCTTTAGCTTGAGGCTAGGAGGGAAGCTTCTTTCTCGTTATTTCACAGCATTATATGCCTGCTGGTAGACTTAGTCTTACCCTTAGGTCTGGTCCCAGAGTTGCTGTAGTTCCTTATCGTTAGTGAACATAAGCACTAATAGGGCTGCCTCTACGCATCATATACGCATTGAGGTAAGGGCTACTTCGGGAAGAAGCTGGAGAATCCAGCCTTATTTGCGCTCATCCTCTAGAGACGTAGGTACGTCTTGTTTGCATCTAGAGAGTGCGTCTAGCACTACTGCTTCACTTCCTAGCTGGTACTATATCTCAAAGTTATACTGAGATAGTTCCTCTGCCTATCGGCTTTGCCGTTCTGTAAGCTTCTGCTTTATCATAAAGTACTTTAGGTTCTTATGGTCTGATAGGATCCTAAAGTGGCCGACACTCTGTAGCTCTGCTCTCTATTCTTATAGGCAGCTCATAATAGCTAGCATCTCCTTATCATATATCAGATAGTTAAACTAGGCAGCGTTAAGCCGCTGCAAGTGGTATGCTACTGCGTGACGTCTTCTATGCTTATCTTCTTATGATAGTACTCCTCTAAGGGCGAAGCCTGAGCAGTCAGCCTCAACATAGGTTGTACGCTTAGGGTTAAGTTGGTGTAGAACAGGCTTAGCTGCAAAGATCCTCTTAAGCTCCTGGAACGCTGCTTCTTATTCCTTACCCCAGCAGAAGAGGACACCCTTCTTTGTAAGAGCTATTAGGGGTCCAGCGATCTCTGAGTATGCTGGGATGAAGATTCAGTAGTAGTTTGCAAATCTTAGGAAGCTTTAGACTCCCTTAACCATCCTTAGCGCAGCCTATTCCTTAATTGCTTTCAGTTTCTCAGGGTCGCAAGAGATACCCACACCTGCAGTGATGATAAACCCTAGGTACTTAACTGTCTTAACAGAGAATGCGCACTTATGGGGGTCTAGATGTAACCCTGCGGCGGCAAGCTTATATAGTACTAGCTTAACCTTTGCTTTGTGGTCTTGCCTTAAGCTATTTGAGTAGATCAGGACGTCGTCCATATATGCTGTCGCAAAGTTATCTAGGTACTCCTGAAGTATGCTATTGATATATCGTTAAAACGTAGCAGGGGCTCCCATGAGCCTAAAGGGAACAACAAGCCACTCAAATAGCCTATATCTTATTTGGAAGGCTGTCTTATACTCCTCTCCCTCTGCGATTCAGATCTTATGGAACGCTGCTACTACGTCTAGCTTAGTGAACCACTTAGCAGCGCTAACAGTCTGTAGCGTCTCTCAAATCAAAGGAAGAGGGTATCAGTTGCGCCTTATAAGTTCGTTAAGGGTGCAGTAGTCAACATAAAAACGTATCCCTCCACCTGGTTTGCATATAAATAGTACTAGGGCTGATGCTTCTGAGCTACTAGCGTAGATAAAGCCTTTATCTAGTAGGTCTCTCAGGGTCTTATGGAGGACGAGAAGCTCTTCTCATGATATGCTGTAGAGCGGCCCCTATAGTAGTGCAGCCTCGTTGCCGTTGCTCTCCTGTTTGATAGGGATCGTGTGGTCGACTCCAGGGCGATGCGGAGGAAGGTTAGCAGCTTCGTCAGGTTGGAACAGCTCTTGGAACTCAGCTAATACAGCTGGTGGAAGGAGGGCCTTTAGGTCTGCCTTCTCAGTCTTCCTCATAAGAGCCTTCTGTATATCTGCTAAGCTGATCGCTCGAACTTTATATCCTGCAGTTCCTTTGGTTTGTTATCATGCCCTCTTATAGAGCGTTGCAAAAGGGGCTCCTGGGAGGAGGTGGGCAGCCCTGATCTGGCGCACTCGCTCTGGCTCTTCCTCGCCTTTCAGACGTAAGTCTACACCACCCCTCCTATGCTGTATACGCTGGGCAGCAGCATTATATAATATATGGTTCCTCTCCATCCAGGGTTTCCCTAAGAATAGGTCGTCGCTAAGGCTATATATAGTATACGCAAAGATCTTCTCATCATAATTGCACAGCTTGAGGTTAAAGATAACTACGCCTATTGCTTTCGTAGCGCCTGTAATATCGCTGAAGCTGCCTAGTACCTGCTTAGAGCGATCTACTATTAGCAGGCGGAGCTTATAGGCAAGGTTATAGTTGATAAGGGTGTATAGGTTGCACCTAGTATCTACTAAGGCGTCTGCTTAAGTGCCCTTATATATATAGGTAGTGATCACTACTAACTTGCTGCTTATGCGATGCTTAAACTGCTTCTATTCTGTGATATCACTAGGCTTTGCCTCTAACGCCTAACTTTGCGTTAGAGTTACTCTTTTCCTGAGCTTTCTTCAGCCTCAGAGCTTCCTGGCTCCTCTGTAGCACTATTATTACTGCTTCCTTCAGGCTTAGGGTCCTTCTTGACCTTTTTGACCTTCTTAGCCTTCGTAGGGCTGAGAGGCTTCCGCCTAGGGCACTATACAGCGATATAGCCGATCTGGTTACAGTTGTAATAATAGCGACTGTCCTTCTTTGGTTGTTACAGGTCTTCAGATGAGGAGGAGCTGCTACGTCGGCGACGTGGCCTTGCCCTCTCCTTGCCCTTAGCGCAGCTAACGCTAGACATCGCTATATCTCCGTCTGCATCTTGTTGGCCAGGTTGTGGTGCTTTCGAATAAGGTGGGGTACCCTTATACGCCTGCTGAGGTAGGCTTTCAAGCTTAATAGCGAAATCCTGAACTTTAAGAAGCCATCTGTGGTAGTCATCCTTAGGAAGTTTAATATAGATCAGACCCCTCTTAAGATGAGTACTAAGGGCCCCTTTAAGGAAGGCTATCTTAGCTTTATCTGCCTAGTCGGCGCCACCAGCCTCAGCTAGTGTTCGCTCAAACCAGGGTAGAAAGGAGGATAGAGACTGATCGTCTCGCTGGCGAAGGGTTCGTAGCGTGATTGCTGCCTGTAGATCTGTATTTAGGTCCTTATACGTCCGGTCAAGGTACTTCAGGAATTCAACAGAGTCCTTCGGCCCACCTGGACCTCCTGCTGCGTAGAAGGTAGCTATAACCTGCTGTGGCCTGCTATCAAGGCAGGAGTTGATGAAGTACCAGATATCAGCATTACTGCTAATATACCTTGCATCTAGCTCTATCTTGTTGCGCATCTGCTGGGCCTATGCTGCGTAGTCCTTACGCCTTCCTGTGAACTTCAGGGGGTTTAGCAGGGGCTTCTTTCGCCCTTCTGTTGCTATTATTATACTATCGCTTATTGCTTATATAGTTATATCGGCAGTGGATGGTGTAGGTACGCTGCTCGTAAGCAGCATAGGGGTCGCTCTATCTGTTGACATAAGCCCGTTCAGAGCTGTCAAGAGCTGCGTCATCTGGTCCTAAAGAGGATGTATACTTACGTTGACTGCTTTATTAACCCTGCGGTCAATCTCTGCAGTCATCGCATCGTTTGCGCTACCCTCAGGCGAATCCATTATGTCGCACTCGTGAGGTTTCATATAGCGTCTTCTCGTTATGCTACCCTCTTGCGAATCGTCGTATCGCACTCGTGAGGTTTCGTATAGCGTTTTCTCGTTACGCTACCCTCTAGCGAATCAGTCGTATCGCTCTCGTGAGGTTTCGTATAGCGTCTTCTCGTTACGCTACCCTCTCGCGAATCGTCGTATCGCTCTCGTGAGGTTTCGTATAGCGTCTTTTGTTGTTGAGCTTAGAATATGTAAGGGGCTGGCCCCTAGGCTTATTCAACGTAGAGGTGCCGTTGATTAACTATTCTAGGCTGAAGAAGGAAGAAAGGACTTTACAAGAGTAGGCACCTAACAGCGGTGAAGCAGACCGGGTTAGGCGGTGTAACGCGGCAGAGTAGTGGGTCCAACGGAGCCGGATCTCGGTAATTGCTCCGGCAAAGCCGGAGATATCAATCCGGGCTCTAGCCTGTGACAATATTTTAGAGTAAAAAGCAATATAACTGTTAGTAACGCTAGCCTATCGCAGCATTAATTAAGCTGAACGCGCCTTATATAATCAGTCATTATATAAAGGCGCTAACCTCTATAATTAACGCTGTAATTATAGCTACTACCTCTAATATAATTAACCTTATATATTACTATTAATGCAATTAATATAATATAATATTTACTGCTTATAGTGCCTTACTAGCTAGCTAATCCTATAAGACTAATACTAATTAGTAGTTAACTTTATAATTACTATTTTGCAATATATTAATTAACTATAGATTAATAAGGCTCTTAAAGAAGCAGTCTTATTAATATTTATTTAGATCTATTCTACTTAGAAACACTTAATTAATTAATTTATACTAATAAAGTAGTTGCACCTTTAAAAAAGATAGTTTATATTGCTTAAATTGCTTTAAATTTACGTTCCTCTAGTCTCTAAGAAGCGTATATGAACGCTAATATTGCTAACGTTAATAGGATTAAATAATATCTCTTTATAATATTGATAATAGTAGAATTGTAATAATAGCTTTTATGGCCTCTAATTCTATATTTAATAGAAGTAGTTCTAATATAACCTAAAAGATAGTTTATTTCGCTTGGAACGCTTTTACTAATTACTTCTATTTCTTATTTAAAAAGCATTCATTATGCGTTTAACCGCTAATATTAGTATTAACCTATTAACTTATAATTAATAATAAAGTTAACGATCTATTTTATTTTTAACTACTTCTCTTAACCTCTTACTCTTTATAAGTAGAGTTTTCGCATTATATAAGTAAATAAGATATTACCCTGCTTTTAACTATTTTTAATTACTTTCTTCTTTGCTAAATTAATATTAACAGTAAATAGCTATTTTAAGCCTATTTAATAATAACTATTTATATAGTATACTTTATTATAAGATTTTCTTATTATTTAACTGTTAAATGCTAACTGCTAACTGCTAGCTGTAAGAGAGGTTTTTACTATTTTTTATTTTTACTAACTTACGCTCTTTTCATAATGCTATTATATGGTCTTTTTGCTTGTCTCATAAGCCTACTATATTATCACTTTATCTTTTAGACTTTACTGCTTTACTAATAATGTTACTTATTAAGCCTACCTACCTTTTTATCTTCTCTAGCTTTATACCTCTATTTTTAACTACTATTAAGCTATATTAAGTTAAAATAAGTAATAGAGTAATAAATGGCTTATTAGATAAATAAGCTTTAGTTATTTTAGTTTCTAGTAAGCTTTTTATAACTATAGTATAGTAATTCTCACTTATAATTTAATTTAGCGTTTTACTCTATTAGGAATATGAATATCTATCTTTCTATATCTTTAATAACCTATATACTTTCTTAAATAACTATATTTAGCTTTACTATTTTAGCCTCTCTAGGTAACCTTCTAAATAACTTTTTAGCTTTTTTAGTATTTCTAATACCTTAAGCTAATAATTACTCTATCTTTATCCTTATTAAGGTTTATAGTATAGTTAACTATAGCGTTTAAGGGAAGCTTAGTAATATTAATATAGAATTAAATGCTACTACTTAGAGATAAGTTACTTTATATTTCTTATTTAATATAAAGTGCTATTAGCTTAATAGCCTTATTAGTTCTACCTTCTAGAGTTAAGCTTCTATTAATTTTAAAGATATACTAAAGTTCGCTTTTAATTATTATAATATAGCTACTATAAAGGAATTTTAGGACTTTTCTATTACTAATAAGGTTTATATTTTTTAAAACAGCACTTTTATTATTTTTAATATCTATAACGTGGTTCATCCGTCAGCAACAAATATTAGTCAGCAACAAACTTTTTCCCAAACGCAGTTTGCACTAAACCACTTAAAACTTTAACGCATAATAACTCCACAACCATCATACCAATTTACGCATAAGAAGATGAGATATTTCTAGCTATCAAGGCGATCTAATCAGCCCGCATCGCCAGCTGAAAGCTAAATATGTTGTATGCTGCGAAGACTTATGGTGTCTTTAAAAGTTCTATACGCTATAGAATAAATAATTAACCTTAATATAAATATACCTAACCATAATAATATAAACTTAATTTAATTAAAGAGAAAATACTTCTCTAATATATTATTAAATAGGATTCCAGAGGATTTCTTTTATGCCTCACTAATATAGAAGATATAGCTAATCTCCTGCTATAAGTATATAATAGTAAGCCTATTAGTAAGCGATAAGCTAGGCAGTTTGGGGATTTATAGCTTATATTAAAAACTAAGTTTAATTATCTATGTAATTATTAAAAGGCTTTTTAAGAAGATCTTAAGGTTATTTTAAAGTGGTTTATATTATTATGTAATATAATAGCTAAGTATAGCATCTAAGAGGGGGACCTATATAATTTTAATAAAACTAGCTTTATAATAAGTATGATCACTATACTAATAGTAATAATATATACTAATTAATATAGTAAAGTAAAGTCTATTTAGCTTAATAACTATAAATAGGCTATAGTTATTAAATATATTAATTTAGGTAGGTAATATATCCCTCTATTTATAATTATTAAAGGTATATATCACCTTATTAGTTAGACTATAGAATTAGGTTTTCTAAGTAACTAAGTGATTAAACCTACTGCTAATAGATAAATAGATAATTAAATAGGTTTTAACTAGATTAAACACTTTAATAAACATATTAAGAACTAAATAAAAAATATCTACTAAATACTTATTATTAACAGCTATAAAAGCTATTTGTTAGCTAAATTTAATAATTACTATAAGCAGAACAATATTATAACTATTAGTATGCGTATATATTTATTATATCTACTATAGCTATTAGATATTACCCTTTATTTACCTTTGAAACGCATATATAGTAATAAAATCAACCTATTTATTAGAGCTTCTATAGATTATATCACTAAGTCTAAGTTCTTTATTACCTTCTACTAAGCTTATAATAAGGTTTTTAATAAAGAAAATATTAGGTCTACTTTCTAAAGTATTAGAATTTCACTATAGGACCTAGACCATATTATCAAAAAGCTTAATATGTATTTATAGACGCCTACACCTCTTATAGCTAACCCTTCAACACCTCCACCTTAGCAGTTACAAATACCCTCTAACCTATAATAAACTATCTCACAGTCTAACTTTATTAAAAGTTATATCTCTATTTATTAAAGAAGCTTACTAATACTAATTATTACTATAATCAAGTAATTATTAAAGGGTGTATAAGTAATAGCATATTTAATCACTACTTTGACTAATTAGCTTTATACCCTTAAGGATATAAATATAGCATTTACAAAGCGCCAGAAGGCTAAAAGAACATAGGTCCAGCTTAGAGGGGCACTTAGTATAGAGGAATCTTAGGTTTTGCTTAAAGGGAAACAAAAAGGGAAACATCCAACACCTCAAGAGGACGACGAGGGGGGTCTATCAAAGAGAGCCCAGCCAGCTCAGAGACGCTGTGGTATGTGTGGTGAGACTGGGCATAACGCGCGAACCTGTTCTAAAGATGTCAAACCCTTAGGAGATTCTGATAGTGATAACTAATAGTTGATTTAATGCGTTGTGGTTGAGAAATACTAGATGTTGTTGTGTATGTGGGAAAAAAACATCCGGCTGACTGGTCTGGCCGGCTGATTGATGAACCACGTTATATAATTATTTATAAGCTGCTATATTAATATCATTAACTAAATATGTAATGTATTATTCTATTCTTCACTTTATAGATTGAAAATTAGTAATATTAGTTTAATTATTTAAGGAATTAACTACTAAGTAAAGCTAGCTTTTAGACTTTAATATCAATATATTCTTTAATTCTTAAAAAATACTAAAACTAATTTTATACTAAAATAGAGAGATATCTATTAAGGAGATATCTATAAGAAAACTATTAATACAAATAGTAAAATAGTTATTACTAAGCTAAAAAGCTTATTTACTATTATTATTAAAAAAGGTGTTTATATCTATAATTATAGTAAAGAAGCTATCTAATATCTTAAGAAAATAATTTTATATTATTTTAAGGTTTGGGTAAACTAAAGCTTAATTAGCCTTTTAGAGAACTAATATTTATATATTAAGTTTATTAATAGCTAGCAAAATATAAATATAGAATAATATCTATATTTAGTTAATAAAGAAGATAAAAAAGTAATAAATATTATCCTCAATAAATTATATATTTAAGACTAAATAGAATAGAGAAAATCTAAGCTTTTTTTTAAAGCTTCTATTTTTATAATATAATATATTATTAATAGTAAATATAAAAGCTAAATAGTTATTAATTTATATACTTTAAATAAAGCTGCTATTCTAGATATATATTTAATACCTTTTTCATAAAATATTATTAAACGTCTGAAGGAAAAAGCTTAAACTACTATTATTAATATTTAATTATGTTTTATTAAGCTTTTATTAAAAAGAAATATAGAGAACATTTCATAATTATTAGTTATTAAAGCTAAAAATAATTAAAGGTTGTTT